GTGGGTGTGTGGGGGTGTGGGGGTGTGGGGGTGCGCGGGTGTGTGGGTGTGTGGGTGTGTGGGTGTGTGGGTGTGTGGGGGTGTGGGGGTGTGGGGGTGTGGGGGTGTGGGGGTGTGGGGGTGTGGGGGTGTGGGGGGGGTGTGGGGGTGTGGAGGGTGTGTGGGTTTGGGTGCGGGGGTGGGTGGGCCAGGTTCCTCGATTCATTTTTCGATTCACTCTGCAACTCCCCGGATTGCTCGCTTCACTTTTCGATTCACCCGTGACCCCGCCGCCCAGCCTCCTCGATTAATTTTTCGATCCACCCACGATCACCGAGGCCTCATTTCGCACTCACCCCTAAACCCTGCCTGGTGTTGGTGTCCCTAATTCAGGCTTTTCGAGCCCAGCACACTGAGTTGGATCAGGATTGAATTGTCTCGCGCGACACGAAAACATCAAGATCTGTGGATCTGCTTTCAGTAATTTCAGTATTCTTTGGGAGACAGAAAAGGCAGTGACTGTTCAAGGATAGTTTATGTTGGTCACTAGTCACGAATTCATTAATCACTATTGGTTGTATAGCCTGCTAGAGCTGGAATCTACTCGCAGAACCCACGGCTGTAAATCAGCTTCTAAGGCGGAAGCTTGGGTTCCGGGCTGGGATTCGGGTTACAGGCAGCGTGAAGCATCGGGTGTAGGTCCGTGGGTCCTCCAGCGGGATTGCCCAGGTCCCCAGTTTCCCAGCAGTGCACATCGCAAACGCCACAGTCCATGTCTATGTCGTCTACGTCTACATTGGTCTCTCAAGTAGCCGCAGATCCGTACACCGTAGGTAAACCAAGGCATCGTTTTGGGAATTCGAGGTCGAATCGATACTGGAAGCAGATTGATCTAAGTGAATCAAAAGCGAATCCTTCATGTGCCTCCAAACTGATTCCAGACCTGAATGAATTTAAAAAAACAAACCTTGCAAAACATCCTCCATCGAAAAACACGTCATAAGGCTAGACGAACTAGAAGAGACTGGATGCCAGTACGATGAGGATGTATGCTGCACCCGACAGCCTCGTGCGACTTTCTCGTTCGGCTTGTTGGTGAACTTTTACAAGCGGGACATTGCAGTCAGATACCGGTCCAGAGGTGAACGCGCGTGGACGACACACGCAGAGAACCCCTTCCTGCAAAAGACACATATAACATATAAGATATTGCCTGAACCTTGCCTGAACTGTGCATGACTTTCTGACAATGCACAGCCTTGAGTTACTTGCCGTGTACACTTTACGCTCGTTCAATCGACGATCTTCTGTAATGGGTTTCCGGCTGTGGTGAACGCAGCCAGTTCGCACTGATCAACATGGTCTTCCACAAGTACTGCCGGATCCTGAAGAACAACAAACATGCTCTCCCCGGAGTAAGAGCATTTGGTTCCAAAAGGCACGGCAAAAGGCTGTCCCCCTTANNACCCCCCCCCCCCCCCCCGCGCCCGCAGCCAAAAAAAAAACACACACACGCAAAAGAAATCCCACAGAAATTCTGCCCCCTATGCTAATGTATATGTGGTCGTAGGTCGTGCAAAGCCAGGGCGGGAAGAGAAGATCGTAGAATTAGCTGTTTTATTGGTAACTACGCATATTCGGAACGAGACGAACTGTTTGCTTTGGCAGTTGTCCCTGGCCATAAAGTTATTCGCCCCTTGGTTGGAGTACAACAACAATCCTGCGGGGCGTTCGCCCTACCGTGTTTGCAACCTTCAGCTGAGCTGAGTTTGTGGTAGGTAGGATTGTGCAAGGTCAAATCACTTTAGGCCGCAATTGTGGCATTCAGCTCGACGCCTTCGTGTGCCCAAAAGATGCCTTCTTTCCAAGGACCTGAATGTGACGGAGATCCTTGGCGAAAGACGACCAGACAAAGGTTTATGTTTTTTTTTTCAGGTTTTGGAGTCACAGGAAACCGAGTGGCATCAGATTGTCGGATTGGAGATGAGAGGTGTTTCGCATGGTCGGGGTTTGGCCGACCAGCAGAAGGGCTTCGATGACAGTTCTGCTGAGGAACCCAATCGCGCTGACGGTGACCTACTCTTTCGCTGCTTTTGGGAGAAAAGCTCCCGGGTTTCTCGCTCAGACAAAGTAGGGTCCTTTCACGGTTCTTCAACATACCTGCGGCTAGCGACTCAAAGCTTTGAACAGGATCGCCTTCACCAGTCTTGTGACAGTTGGACATTTGGAGTTGCGGAGCAAGCTGCATTCCGGACTAGGTAGCCTTCGTTGTCCAGGTTATCGGGGCCTTCCGCCCAAAAAAGGACTTTGATTGTATGCCTCCAGACCCTTGGCTTTACTACTTTACTGTTCAGACCCAAGATGTTGCACTGCTAAACCCTCAAGTCCGAACTTTCTGACGAAGTATCCTGGAACTCTCCACCGCTGGCCAGGCGAGCGGTGGGTAGGAAAAAAGAAATACAGCAAAGCCTGTGCCTTTTAATTACCGCAAAAACCAGCTCAAACTAAACCCCTTAGTAGGCCGCTATACCCTCCAACCAACCGAGATCCTGCTGAGAGTTAAGGTTGGGCCAGATGGAGGAGCTCTACCACTGCATGAAACATCCGGAGAAGTCGCCGACGAACTACATCCCGAATCTTGACGTGGAAAAGCCGCGCTTTTTGGTTCTACTTCGGGCTTTTTGGTTTCGGGTTTGGAGGCTTGGGTGTAGATGGAGCCTGATGGAGCATACAGCGTATGCTAGTCCCATGATGATGCCGAATGCCGGCCACATCAACAGGCGGTTGCACTGCGTCATGCTTGGTGTGATCGTAGATGGCAAGTAAAGCATGCTGTCGCAAGGAGGCCTCCGCATGTTTCCCATGCAGTACGTTCCGGTGGGTCACAGAAGACAAGTTAAGTGAGAGGGATCCATAAGGGGGCGTGATTCAAGGGCGGAGGGTACGAAGGATCCTTAAGGGAACCTTACCCCTGTTCCTTAAGTAAGGATGCCATAAACAAGAAAGCAACATATCCAGAACCGATTGGTGTGCGAGCTTTTGGTTGCGACCCCTTGTGTCTTGCATGACTGAGCCCTAATTAAGCTCCAACTATGCCTACGCTACCTGTCCCATGCAAAGTCCCAGGTCATTCCAAGCTATCTCCGAAACCATGTGTCCCAGAGCTGAGGAAGAACGATGTGTTTGCAGCTTACAAGAAGCGCTGGGTCAACAGCTTCAACACGGCTGCACCCGGTCACGTCGTCGAGGAATCCTACGGGAGGGAGAGCAATTGAGGCCCCGAGGAAATGCAGAGACACATAGCGCGAGCCAAGCGGGTAGACTTCCAGCTGGAGCTATCAAGCTCGGGCTTTTGAAATCAAGGGACAGCGCCGCATCTTACGACTCCTTGAAGGATTGTGCATGGCAGCATCTGAACCGATGTGCGAATAAGCCAAAGTTTGTCCACGCTGCAACAAGTCTGGCCTCTCAACAGGAGCTGTTCTTGGACAAGCATCTGGCCGGCAAAGATCACCAGAGTCCCTAGGGCCCGTGAAGGCAGTGGAGTCCAAAGAGGCATCAGATAGGTGGAGTTTACATGCAGATGAAGCTGCTAACTTCGATGGATCTCTGACCAAATATATACACAGCACGAGGCCAATGTGTTTTGTGGGTGGACGTGAAGTCGCGGCGGGGCTTCCATGACTTCGAACAGCCTAGGCCCTCACATTGGCCCGAACGGATGTCCTTGTGGGCAGAGTTGTCTTGGATGGCATGTAGAAGCCCTGGCCGAGGTATGCCAAGAGTATTTTCTGGTCAGAGATTCGACTGCCAGTTTTCATTGGTGAGTACCACAGCGTCCATGTTGGCGCCAAGGAGTGTGCTTGCGGGGTCTCTAGGGTCACTAATTGTCTTGTTGAAGGCCAGAATATCTGAACACCACTTCGACAGGCAGGAATGCTCTTTCCCTCCCGAATGATCGAACATGACAAGGCTCATCAGCAATTCGAACGCTTGAGCCCTCCTCAACTCTGCGCAGACCCACTACTGAGAAGGCCTTCTATGCTGCTCTGTTCCAACTGACATGACCACTTAAGGCCGAATCCTTGCTGGTAAGCTGTCTCTGCCTTTCCGAAGCCAGTGCATAAACCAGCATTGCCGCATCCCTGAACAGCATGCTGTTCCTGTCACCACAAGAAACTTACGAACCCACTTTGGCACCGAGCGCCATCAGAATAGGAATAGCCCTTGGCAATGGCTCCCTTGGTGGAGGATGACCTGCCGATTTTGGTGAACGATGCCCTTTCATCGAAGTATCCCTTCTATTTGGGCTACAACTTCTTCGAGCCATTCGGCCACAAAGGATGGCACGGTGCATCGCCATATCGGAACAAGATGGGCGTGAATTTCCTCAGCACCATTACTGGCTAAATCCGGGCCGGGCAGTGGCAATTTCTAAGGCTCCCTAGCAGGCCCTAGCAGCAAATTGTGACAGTGCAAACACCGTTACTGCCGTGCACCACGCAGGTACGCAGGTGCTGCTTAGAATGTGCAGCGCCCTTAAAACCAGAAGCTGAGAATCCTTAGGTAGGTGCGACGTGGCTACGATGACTGCGACGCCGCCACGACTAATCACTACTGCTGATACTGCTCCTGCTCCTGCTCTTGGTCCTGCTGCTGCTACTACCATTAATTGCTACTTTACTACGACGACGACGACTACTACTACTTACTACTACCACTAGCACTACCACTACCTCACTACCTCACTACCTCATTACCTCACTACCACTACCACTACCGCTACGTACACCTACTACCACCACTACCACTACCACTGCTAAAACGACTGCTGCCACGACTGCTGCTACTGCTACTGCTATAATCCCAATAATTGGGCAGATTCGCAGACCCTCGAAAGATTCGCAGAGCCCGCGACATGTTTGCCATGCGTGCATGCATTGTACCTCATGGTCTAGCAGGGGAAGTTGTTGCAGTCGAGGAGCCTGCTTTTGCCATCGGCTCTTTATCAATTTTCGGATCATCTTCTTGGGCCTTTCCTGACTTCCCAACCCTTGGAGCCGGAGCCGAGGTTCTCCGTGAGGTACGACAAGGGAGGAAGCGAAAAGGAGTTCGGCATGTTCGGCTACGGGGACTGCCCGCTGGTGGAGATGAATTACAGCGGGAAGGCAGGTGACGCGCGAACCAACAAAACTACAAAAAAAACCCAGCCAAGCCCAAGAAGACAGAACAAAGGAGGCCTCTCATACTGACACGGCGTATATGGGGTCTGTCTGGTTGGTGAGCCTCCATGCTTTGCCTTCTTCCGAGGTGTGTTGCGTGTTTAGATGTTTTTCGGTGATTTCGCGGCTAGGCCGTTGGGATGCCCTGTGCAACAGGTCTACACCATTTGGAATTTGGCCGCTTGCTCGAAGTACTTTCAAACTTCTGTTGTTTCCGCACAAAGGGAAGACCCTGCACCTGCCAGGGTCCAGAGTCAGCTCATCCTCAGCATGTGAAGACTCGGCTGTTGTTGGGACAAGTGCAGGTTCTTTGCAACTGCCTTTCAGAGCCTTACATCCACCCGAGGTTCCTGCCAAGGACAAGTACGGCTATCCTCTGTCCAAGGCTCTGAAAAATGCCTACGGCAAGGCAGGGCCGTGGCCTTCGGAAACGCCTTGTAAGACACCAGGCTCGGAGGAGATGCCGAGCTGTTATGCAGATCGGGGTCGAACAGAAGCAGCCTCGAAGCTAAACCCAGCCTTTCCAAGCGGTGTGCGTTGCGTTATAGAGTCGTGGTGGACCGGAAGTCAAAGTTCGCAACTATCCCTGCTGCATCGGATGTCTCGAAAGCAGGGCTCGGCTGGGCCAGTCTTGCGCGATGCGCCGTGCCTTGAGGAGGTCTTGGGTGTCTCCTGAGGACTGAGGAAAGGGGCGCCCTTATTATGCTCGGACTCCGGCTTAAGTCGGATTTCGTTTTTTGTCGTATCGGCTGTTGTTAGCTCCGGGATCCAGGCTAGGAATTGGGAGGCACAAGGCACAAGCCATAAAGTTGGCAATCATGAGAGGACTGCTGGAAGTGGCAAGAGTAGTCCAGGATGATATCATAAGCAGGTAGATGAGAGCAAGAGTGATGATGACAATCAGACTGATAACCATGGAATTACTGGCCGGGTGTGGGTGTTGAGCACGAAATCGGCGAAAAGATTCTGATTAAGCATACAGGGGCACAGAAGCTTTGTTTCAAAGGTCCTCAGGGCCGTGTTGACATGGTGTCGCCTTCCGGGCACATGATCTGTTTGAAGACGTCAAAGCCCTGGGAGATCCAAAGGCTCCAAGCCCGCCGAATCCTCATGGCCTGGGTGCCATTTGGCGGTTTGTTGGGGTGTACCTCGGCAGATTGCTGCCCCTCAGTGCCTTCAGTGTACCGGCAGGCCACGCACTGGTTCTAGTCTGAGGCTTCTTTTGTGCAAAGGGTCCGTGATGGGGCGAAGAAGTCGAAGCCTTGCCGCCAGGAGGTGCCGTCTTTTGAGACCCGGCAAGGCGGCAAGTCCTTGGGCTTGGCCGACGGAGGGGCCGCAAAAGCAAAGTTAGAAGGCTTGGCACTAAGCTGCAAAGCCACGACCGAGTTGAACGCCAGGGCCTGGCGTAGCCTTGGCCAACATAGCCATCAGTTGATCGATCTCGGTCTGCTGCGGCGGGTCCAGACTTGCCAGGTTTAGAGATTCTGTTGCAGCGTCACCCAGCGGACCGAGCGTGCCTGCAGGCATTAATTCGTCGCCTCCTGCCAACTGCGCAGTTGCGCCTCAACGTCTCACCTGAGCGTTAGCTTAATCAGTGACGTAGCCGTAGACGCCAAATCTATTTGTCTCAGATGCATTGATCAGGCACGGCGAGTGCTCGTCGAAATAGCAGATGTGTCGCGAAGGGCGGTCGTGGCTTTGGCATCAGAGAGCATCAGCCCCCAAGCTGGCGCTTTCTGTGGCGCCTGATCATAGCCTCGAAAGTCGGGCTTCGGTGCTTGTGCTTTTGGGATACGATGGCTCGGAAAGCATGTAGAGACCGACCGGCGATCGACAATCGAGTTGTTTACAGGACGGTAGGGCATTAAAGGGAGGGTTTGCGGCATGAAGATCTGTGCATGGCACACCCGTGTGTGTGTGTGTGTGAGTGTGAGTGAGTGAGTGAGTGAGTGAGTGAGTGAGTGAGTGAGGTGAGTGAGGTGAGTGAGGTGAGTGAGGTGAGTGAGGTGAGTGAGGTGAGTGAGGTGAGTGAGGGG